CTGCCAATTCTTGATCTTCCTTGCCATTTTCTCCGTTTCTGTTATTACAAGTTCTTTCATTTCAGCTTTTTATTCTTATCCACCTCCTTTATCCAAGCTGCATTCTTGTTGTATTTCTTTGGGTTGTTCCATAGCTGCGCCCAAAACGGCAGTTTCTTGTCAGGTGTTGACTGGTTTATTGCAGTCTCTCCATTGATGGATTGGTAGAAATGTTTCTGATTCGACTGAAATTGGAGGTTCATATATGGTGATGCTTTGGGTATGGCTGTTATTTGCTGCTTTATTATTTTCAGTGCTTCCTTGATCAAGTATTCTTTGGATTCTGGAAACGAAGTCCACAGGTGCTAAAGTGGACAAGGTTGAGAAACAATGCTCCTAAGTAAACCTGTAGGACAGCTTTCCTCAAATATTATTCAAGAAAAATTCTCCTTACCCATTTTAACAAGTGGAACTAGTCAGCCTTTACTTTGCGGCTTATGGTCCCCCCCACCATCTTACCCAAATGGCAGGTATTAGACAGAGGTTGGTAGATCCCAAAAGGCCCAAGTGGCATCAACACCTGAATTAGAACTACGTGGATGAAGGGTGAACCACCAGCTTCCTCAACATCTAGAGCATTTCTAATAATGGATGTGCTGTTTTCCTTCTTTTAAATCCTTTTCTTTTTGGCCCATGCATTTTAACGTCCCATTCATTACTGACCTTTGGAAGCTGCTGCAGCAGCCTTTTTTACCATGAAGAAAAATCGCTTAAGTAGTATTTTATTTAGATTGGCAGAAGCACAATATATTAGTAAGGAAGCCGTTATCCCAATACTGTAATGCAGCTTTGGAATATGCTACCCGAAAGAACTGGAATTATGTAAAGCACAATCTTACCACTTTTCTTTCTTCTTTTCTTTCTTTCTTTTCTTTCCTTTTTCTTTCTTTTTCTTTTTTTATCTATCTATCTATCTATCTATCTATCTATCTATCTATCTATCTATCTATCTATCTATCTATCTAATTTAGATACCGCCCATCTCATGAGGAAGTGACTCTGGGCGGTTTTCCTGAGAAGTGTATTCTAGTTCAATACAGATAATTTCCACTACCAAATCAGGCTAGTTTGTGCTTCACGGTGTTTCTAAAAGGAGGATGACCTGCACCCAAATACCAAATCATTTTTACAATCTGGGGGCCTTGCATGTAATATATAGCTGCAATTCAGGCATAAAATGAAGAGGGAGACACACTATTTGTGCACTGAATGTTTTATTCCAACTGGCAGGGGAAAAAACGCCTCCCAGGAGAGGAGGAAAGATGAATCATGTTGCTGCAGGAGCACCAAAGCCAGGTAGGAGGAAGAGGGACGGGGGCAGTTCCCGCCATGCTGTTTACTTGACCTTCTTCTTTGGACGCAGGTTGTTGGTGTGGCCACATTTCTTCTTACGACAATTCACGGCACGGGGGTGCAGGCGGGCATAGCATCTAGAAGGGAGAAAAAAGACAAGGGTGAAGCCGAGGCTGCCCAACATTTCTGGTCTCCCTGGAATCCTCGTGCAAAGGATTCTTGGCGCACACTGAAGCACTCAAACTTTCCATTTTGCACTGGGGTTGAACAGTAGTCGCAAAAGCCACCCCCTCCTTGATGTGACACAGACAAATCAATGAAACACTCCGAGAAAGGTCCACGCACTCTCAGCTACCCACACCTGACCATCCAGCTGGACCTGAGAGAAGGTGAAGTCCAAAGGACAGTATCTGGAAGATGCAGTTTCCATACCCCTGTCCTAAGCACATACCATCTTTGTTTATTGCATGACCGTACAGACTACCCAAAACACCACATAATGGAAGATACGTATTCAGGAGGAATCTTTCAGTGGAGTACAGAACCTTTTTGAGTCTGAAGTGGCTTATCTGGACCTCACTGGAAGTATTCCAGCATTGTACCAATCCTCCTGGAATTGCCCAAGCTCAAAAGAGCCTTGTTTCAAGCTTGAAACAACACCATTTCAGCTTCGGTGCATTTCCAGGAATGTCAAGGCAGCATCAGAGCAGTTCCAGGAATAATAATTTGCTTATTTATTTATAATAATCTAAATTTATATGCTACCCAACTCCAAGCGATTCTGGTTGGGAAGGCCTTGAAATGGGGTATCTTGAATTTGAAATGCTTGGTGCAACCTCTACAATCTACCGTCAAGAACCAAATGCTGGAAACAAACCACAGGGTGCCTCGTTATTCACACTCCCCACTAGGATCTTCCAGAGAACAATTGTCCGCCTACTATCAAGAGCAAGAAATTAACCTTGGATGGCATAATGTTGGTCAAGACCAAAAGGTATAAAGGAACCTGCTGTGAAAAATGTAGCCTGAAAAGATTATCTTACTGATGAAGATGTAGTCCAGAACCCGAAGTGAAATACAGTAAACTGATTGCCTTTCAGTCCTTTAGCCACAGCCGTTGCAAAGAGGCTATAAAAATCATTTTCTATCTCAGCTGATGTTACCAAAGTGCCCTATCATGAGCCAAGCCTTTTCCAGCCCCCTAGATGTGTTGGGTGTAAATCAGTATAGCCGAAATCCTACAGTTCACTGTAATTAAGAGGCCACATCCTAATTTTCTCGTAGCCACCCCCACCCCACGGGACATACTTGCGGCAGATCATCTTGTCGCAGTTATACTTCTGGGCAAGCTGACGGAGCGAAGGCTCAATGATTCCTCCACGGAGACGCAGCACCAAGTGAAGGGTGGACTCTTTGGCGGGGAGAAAGGCAGAAACCAGATTAACACACACACTGGGGTTTGCAGAATCTCTGGCAGAGGGGAGGGTTGGGAGCTCCCAGCCTAGAAACCAGAGCTCGGTGACCCCAGAAACCAGGAAGGAGAAACTGAACCCCCCAAGAACACAGAGCACAAAATGGTCTTCAATAGCAACGTTCCATATTAAGCTTGGCAAGGTATTCAGGGCTGGAGAGGATCTTTCTCTGGCAAGGACCTCGGAGAGCAACTGTGAATTGCAGCTAGCTGGACAAACAGAAATGTGACAGTCGCTCTCCAGGCTCCCTGCCAGAGAAGGGGGTTTTCTGTGGTCCTTCAGTCTAACCAGCTACCCTCGC